GACTACCTCGCCGACGAACATCTCTCCCTTAGGGGCTTTGGCCAATGCCGTCCAAGAAGCTAGTGGGTCTAATCTAGACCACTCCTCCTCTAGCTCCTAAGGATTCAAACACATTCATCGAACAAAGGCTCGATGGGTCTGAATGTGTTTGCGGGACGACGATGGAATGAGTAGGTTGGTCCATCTCTCGAGATGGTGAGGGTGTGTCCACCACCTCGACCCTAGCAAGAACAACTACTATTCCTACTGGCCTGACGCGTTTCCCGGAGCAGTGCCAGGACTGCTGGCCACATTGCTACCAACGAGAGCGGAGGATCCCAACGCCTGCCCCATCGTACGCGGGATCTTCTCGGTCACCTTTCTGTTACGACACTTGAATTGGTTACGTCCATATTGGCCACAACGAATGCAAGCTTGCCGGGTGTACCGGTCTCTCCACACGTCCTCACTGAGACCCGCTTTCTCCCATGGAGGAGCATTGAGGTCAACTTGACTCCTAGACCGGAACCTCCACGGCGTCTACCGGTCGCCTTACCTTTTTGAGCTACGACAGCGACTACTCCACCCCCTGAAGCTTCTACTCTGCCGGCCTTTGAACCTGCTCCCGCCTGGAACTCGTCATCCAACTCGATGGTAGAACCATCGTTGTCGACGAACATAATGCGTCCCGTCGCTTTCCAGTTGGGAGGTCTTTTTCCTACCATCCATCGTGGGTGTCTGACCATGCCCTATCTTTGCTTCCAGGTCTAGGGCCTTCTTGCTAAACGACGGGAAGTTGTGCATGTTGATGTTGGCCTCACCTGCCAACTGGCTCCTGAGAGGCATGGGAAAGCATCTCAGGTAGGAGGTGAGTAAAACCTGGGGGTCATAACTCACCCCAGGGACACAGATCAGACGCTCTACAGCGCCAGTGGCCTCTCTCATTGACTTAAACTGCCTCGTGTGCAGTGTCAGGATCGCGTCAGTAGCTTTTTGGGCCTCCTGCAGATCATGCCACCTGGTTTCCACCAACTTGAGAAAGTCATCCAGTTTCTGGGTGACCGCCCAAGCGCGAAAGTCATGACCGTACCCCTGTAGCTGCACTAAACCACTCAACCACCTTGCTGCGCTCCCCTCTAGATAGGAGGCAGCCACAAGCACTTCCTCGTGCGGCAAGGTAAGTTTGCACTTGACATAGACTGGCACTGCCCTCAACCATGTGTCGAGGTCTTCGCCAGCCACAAGCACTTCCTCGTGCGGCAAGGTAAGTTTGCTCTTGACATAGACTAGCACTGCCCTCAACCATGTGCCGAGGTCTTCGCCCCTCTTATCCCTTGTAAAGGGTTTAGGAGCGGCGATGGTCGTCTTTGGAACCCACTGACTTTGTCCCGGTACCTGCACCATTCCGGGTTGTGGACCCTGTGGTGCAGGCTGCTGCACTATCTGCTATGGTTGTGAACCCTGCGGCTGTGCAGGCTGCGAGACAGCAGGATGCCTGCTAACGGCAGCCTGAGACGGAGGTTGGGTGAACACTATCTGTACAGGAACCTGTAAACTGGGACCTGCTGAGAACCCGCTTGTTAGAGGCATACCCAGGGAAACGGGCTGAACCGATGCTGGAGCGGTATATGGGGATACCCCAGTCACCAGTGGGACAAAAGGAGGAGGATGTACAACGGGCCAGACACCAGGCGCGGACAGCGATGGTGCCACCTGCGCTCGGCCGACCAAAACGACCAGACTCTGCTGGATGTCTTGTAAGATCGCCGTCTGCTGATCTTGCATCTCTACTGCACCTAGCAAGACCGAACTCAGGGTCCTCACTTCATCATCCAACTCCACTTGGTCCATTTCCTCTAACTCACTAATGTCCGCTTGCCTCCGCTGCAACCTGACTCTTCTTCTAATCATTCTTTCTTTTTCTGCCTTAATCTCTCCTAAAGCCTGCTGTAGCTGTGCCTCGCGATCAGCAGCTCGCTGTATGGCGACCTCCTCGGGAGTCATCACTAACGGCTGGCTTGCCATTAAGCCAGTTGACTGACTCTGGGTCTGCGCGATCGTTGACCCTACAGATCCTGAACTGCTAGCCTGGGAACTCTGCTGCACAGAAGTTGCCATGGCTGCTGAAGCTGCGGCTTCGCTTGCGAACGCCCTGCTGGCCTCTGCTGCCGTAACTCTCCTCTGCTGCTGCTTCCTCTCCCTAAGCTGGCGGAACAGAAACCTGTCACCCTCTGGTCCTAAGGCCAAGTGGGCTATCGGGCGTCTAGCCGATCGCAAGATCCGGTCGTCCGGTTGTGGGACCTCCTTGTCACTCATAGGCTGCAACACTGTACAGTGCCTGCACTAGGACACTCTTGATGCCTACCACAGCATGATGTACGGACCGATTTATAATAAAATAAAATAAATAATCGGCGGCTATGTCAGAGACTATACATTCGGGTTCAACAGGTAAGTTCAGATTCCTACAAACGATCTACTTTGACTTTGACTAGTTCGCAAACAGAAAGCACAATGAACAAAGAACAGTTCTAAACTATGCTGTCTGTCAGATGTCAATGGCTGTACATCTAACTAATCAAAAATAAAAATAGAATCGCTTGTTGGGTCTGTTTGCAGAGTGGAATCTTGCCCAAACTTTTCACCTGGAATCTACCCCTCCCTCAGTTCTTCCTGAATGTCTCTTGTCGTCCAAGCCCCTGAGCAATCGGGACAGCGTGTGTGTCTAAAGTTGTGCACACGGCCCACCTATGTGCCCCGAGTCTTGCTGAGCTGACCAGCCCTGCACAGTATTTATCTTTGTTTGCAGCGAGCCTTACACCGACCGATTGGCTGATCAGGAGGCGTTTATATGGACGGCCCCCGAAGTCCTCAGGAATTCTTTAACATCGCAAACAGGACGACGATCACAACCAATGGAAGGCACCTCGCCGGTGCTTATTTATAGACGCCCGGTCTCATCTGTCCCCTAGGACTGGCCTGCCCTTCAGAACCCCTCGACAGTGCAGCGAGCAGACAAAGGACAAAGCAGCAAAGCATGCGTGCTCTACTCCCGGTGGGTTGGCATGGTGACCGTGACCCAGTGCTTCGTCCAGGGCCCTTCAGATAGAACCGCCCTCTCCTTCCAGATGCTCCACGTGAAGATTGACGAATCTCAAGGTTGAGCGCACACGACTCCTCACATGAGAGGACTCTCAAGACAACACACATCCTCACGGTAAGAAGTGTCGAAGAGGGTAGATAAGGTTAGGTGCAACGTATTCAAAATAGCTGCCCCTAACCACAGATATTCTCACCAGATGACCCGATGTTGATTGTGATGACCAATCGCTGCTTCGGCACAACCAGCATTGCGCAACCGTTCGACCTCAGCATCAATCACACACCGGATAGTTCTCATCACACTGCGAACACCCAATAATCACCGCTTAGCCTTCCTGGCGAACCCCTCTCCACCTGGGTCGCCTGCTTATCTTCGCCCTCCTCACTACACACGTCCCACGGCACGGTCGCTCACCGCACACACCGCGTGCATGTACCGCATTAGGCAGAAGATAAGCGCCAGATTAGCGCACTGAACCACAACTCCGATACCAAATTGCAAGGAAGATGAGCAATAGCGAACTTCAGAAATC